GAGAGAGAGAGAGAGAGAGAGAGAGAGAGAGAGAGAGAGAGAGAGAGAGAGAGAGAGAGAGAGAGAGAGAGAGAGAGAGAGAGAGAGAGAGAGAGAGAGAGAGAGAGAGAGAGAGAGAGAGATTGATTGATATGTATTTATGCCCAAGCAAGGCTAAAGGGCAAGAATAAAACACAGCACATTTGTAACATAAAAGAATATGAGTGTTATCGCTAACATAACAGACGCAGCTTATAATATAACTTAAGAGTACAGTTCCATGCACAAAAATCGGAAACGACAAAAAGGGAACCGCAAAATGGAAATAGGGCATGCGCAGCTGCACAGCGCGTCGTCTGCTTATTCCGTTACTTTTTTTTAACTTCAGGCGTCCCATGCACGCTAAAAAATAGGAAAATTGAAGAAAAATCAGAACTTGTTAAAATGGGAAATGCTATTTAAAGGTAAAAAGTAATAAAATGTATTATTTATATAAAGAAAATAATTATTATTAAACATTTGTATAACAACTACACTCGAAATTACTAATTTTTCGGTTCTATGAAGAAAAATTAGTTAAAGAAAGAGGTTAGAGTACCATTCCTTGTTGAAAAAGCTGCTTTATGGGACGCTAGAAATCGAAAAATAGAAACGGAAAGGTACGCAAAATTATATTGATTGAAAATTTAAATTAAAAAAAATTTTTATTTATTCTATAAATATTCTGTAATAATAGTGTCAATTACCATTGTTTGGTACGTGAATAATTCATAATGAGATCAAAAGTTTATTTGATGCTAATACTGCAAAAATGCAGACAGTTGCAACAAATGCCACAAACACCTTGGCAATCTGAAATAAATTATGAACAAATTAACAAGATGTACTGCCTTTATCTTTTACTAAAAAGAAAAGAACTTGTTAAATGAAGATTCTGGGTAAGACCCATATTTACAGAAGAAATGAGATTATTACAAGGGTTTAGCAATAACTTAATTATTGAAATGATGCATCGTGATGAAGAAAAATATTTTGATTTTTTCCGTATGCATTTGCAAAGTTTAAATGAATTATTTACTCTTATTAAACCACACATTACAAAACAGACTGTGGTGAGGACTCCCATTCCAGCAAACAAAAAAAGATTGAAAAGAATTAAAACAAGATTGCCAGGAATTCAATTAAGGACTTTCCGAATTCCATTCTGTCCAAAAAAGGGATTGAAATAGTTTCAATATCATGGAATTCCTTATTTTGGAAAGAATTTGTCTTTTTTGAATCCCATCCAATTCCGACACAAAAATATTATACCACTGAATGCCAGGATAGGGATTAAAAAGTGTCCGTGTTGAACTCTGTGGCGGTACGCGCCAACAATAGTACACGCCCGCGCGGTATCTGCATTACCGGCAATTCGCGTCGACGCCGCTAGGCGTCGCATCGCCGAGGCATCTTCTCGAGTTCAAAGTTTCGTCTCGACCGCTATGTAAAGGGACCCCCTACGGTGCCTGACAGATCTTACAAATCTCATTTTCGGGCTAATTGCCCGTCGGCAGTAGTGCGTGTAATGCCCTTATAGGCATACACAAAAGCTCACCGACGAACAACGGCGCTTGGTTGCCCAACGGAGGCGCGAGACGTTTCCTAAACCATATCTAATGCCATGCAATTCCATAACCTTTACGGATTCCATAGGATTGGATGGAATTAAAAATTTCTTTTTTTGGATTCCATGGGATTGGACCATCTCATTTCGAATCCCATCTAATTTCATCTAATTCCGCCAAAAAAGAGATTTAAAGGTATTAAAAAATTTTAATATCTTTTAATCCTTTTGCGTTTGCTGGGATACCATCTAGAACTCGTTTTGAAATCTGCATTTGCTATTTAACTACAGGTGATAGCTTTCAGTCTCTTAGTTATGCTTTTCGAGTAGCACCAAATACAATATCTAAAATTGTATCAGAAACTTGTCAAGTTATTTGGGATGTTCTGGCTGAAATAGTTTTTCCAGAACCAACAGAACAGTTGTGGTATCAGAAAGCATGTGATTATGAAGATTTGTGGGACTTTCCTAATTGCATTGGGTCTATAGACGGTAAACACGTTGTCTTACAGGTATTTATGAATTTAAAAATGACTAACTATATACATATACTGTATAACAAATTATTATGAAAAAAATAAACAAAAATATTATTTACAGGCACCATATAAGAGTGGTTCTATCTATTATAATTATAAAGGTCAACACAGTATTGTATTGCTTGCCATAACAGATGCAAATGGATTATTTACTGTAGTAGACATAGGAGCAGAAGGAAGACGTAGTCATGGAGGAATTTTTATGCACAGCGATCTTGGTATCAGTCTAAACAATAATGAAGTCAGTTTGCCTCCATCAAGACAATTAGAAGAAAATGGTCCAAATTTACCTTATGTGCTAGTTGGAGATGAAGCATTCGCTCTTACTAACTACATGATGAGACCATATTCTAGAAGAAATGATTTAGATCTTTCTGAAAAAGTGTACAACTACAGACATTGTAGAGCCAGAAGAAATGTTGAATGTTCTTTTGGAGTGTTAGCAGCACGGTGGAGAGTTTATCGTAAACCCATGGAAACCTCAGTTACTACTTCTGTTAAAGTTGTTCAAGCAACAGTATGCTTGCATAATTTTCTAATGGCTAAAGATATAACTCGATCACTTCAAGAGAGGCAATATTCCCAATTTCTTCCAGCAGAAAGAGATGCACCTGCACATGCACTTCATGATCTGCATGTTCAATATGTAAATATAAATAATGCTACTGGGATAAGAGATGCATTTAAGCAATATTTTAATACAACTGGTGTTATTGAACAACAATGGGAGAGAGCATTGCAAAATAATTTTTAAGCTTAATTTATACAAAGAACAGTTTATTTAAATTTTTTAATAATTGTAACACGAATAAATTGTACATTATAACAAATACATGTTTGTCATACTTAAGTTTAAATATGTGCTTATTACATAATAAAGTGCATTTTAATATAATATTCAATAACCATATATGTATTTGTAACATTAAACTCTTAAATTAGTTTGTAATACAACGAAAAATCTTATAGTTATAGCTTTCTATTTATTTAGCCTATCTCCACTTAGTTTGGCATTTAATTTTGGCATTAAATTATTTATTAATAATATTGCTGATGGTTTAAAATAAAGGAATTAGGCATTAATATCTTGTAAATCTTCTTCTTGTTGTAAACGTTTCAAAAAATCTATTTCTACTCTTGCTCTAGCTTTATAAGAAAGTCGTCTCATTCCAGCAGCTAACCTCATTGCAAAACTATCTATTTCATCCATCTTTTTGGGCTCTGTTTTTATATGTTTCATTATTTCCTTTTCTACATTGGCAGTTCTTTTCTCTGTTAATAAACAATGTTTTATTACAAATAATACAAGTTTAGAGTATGTTACAAAATAAAGGTATTTACTATTGGAACTACTTGATTGCCCTTGTGAAGGTAGATTTTGAGTACGATTATTTAAAGATGATGGAAATAATGTTCTACAAGCACTTTGTACCTCTCGTTGTATTAATACATTGTTTGCAGGCCTTTGTTGAAACACACGTTGTAATTGGGATTGTGCTCCTGTACAAGATTTTTCACTCGGAGAGAATTGCATTTGAGTAATACCATATGGTGTTGACGTATTCGATCGTGCTTGTGATGAAACAGTGGAGATTATAGATCGAGATGGAGATGGAGAAACTTCTGGCATGATTGCAGACTGTGATATTGGAGAAACACACGACCGCCTGCTATCGTTACTGGAAAATCCTGAAGCAACAGTATTTATTGTATCTGAGATATTACTTAATGCTGAAATTGGTCGAACAAATCTCTCTTTAGAAATACTGTCGTGAACAAGTGTCTGTTGTGAATTGAATTCCATATTTTCTTTATTTGATGTACTGTTTGCATTCTTTCTCTTTAACTTCAATGATGATATTGTTCTAAAAAACAAAAAGTTTAAAAAGATATTGTTTAAATTCATATTTAAAATAAAATGTTTTGGAATAAATGTTACATGTACGCGTGCGTGTGTAGATATATACATATACGTACGACTTGTATGTTAAAGGTTCATTCAAAAAACTCATTGTCTCATAGTATCTAAAAGATGACTTTAAATCATCATTAGCTGCAGCTTCACTTCTTTCAAAAGCTGCCTTCTTTTTCATTAGTTTATTTCGAGTTTTACAATAACATCCTCTTAGATATGCCCAGCGCCTAGAAGCATTTACAGGTGTAAAATCACCTCCTGGAAAATAAGAAAATATATTTTAAAATATCTGTATTTTATGTTTTAATATGATACATCTTAATACATAAAATAATACATATATTTTAAAATACACTACCTCCAAAACTATTACTTATTAATTTCCATAAATCAGCTTTTAATTTCTTTGCTCTCTGCTTGGCAGGAAGTCTTGAGTCATAAAGCACAGGCTTAAGTTGCACCTGGCCAATCAGACTTT